CAGCAGAGGAACTTCAAGAGAGGATCAAGTTAGCCACTCATGACCCCCGCCTGTGGGATTGAGGTATCTCAGATTCCCTTAATCATGAAAAAGGGGTGTCCCAAGATCAAGAGTTGCTGTGGTATGATGGACGCATTTACGTGCCTAGGGAGAAACAGCTGCGAGGCGAGGTTATAGCCCTGCGACATGACCATGTTACTGCTGGACACCCGGGTGTTGAAAAAACCAAAGAACTCGTCCTCCGAGATTATTGGTGGCCACGGATGCGGCAAGACGTAGAGGCCTATATCAAGGGATGCGAAGTATGTCAACGGACCAAGGCGGATCGCCGACCGAAGAGGGCGCCTCTTCATCCAAATGAAGTACCAAACCAACCTTGGACCCACATTTCCGTCGATATGATCACTAAACTACCGAACTCCAAGGGGTTTGACTCCATTTTAGTCATCGTCGACAGATTTTCAAAGACCATTATTCCCATAGCCTGCACGGAGGAGCTCACTTCCCTGGGATTCGCTAAAATCCTATGTGATCAAATCTATGTGCCGTACGGGGTAATGCCCGAGAAGGTCATCTCTGATAGAGGGGCCGTTTTTGTATCCAAATTCATGAAAGAGTTCTACGCACTTATTCAAGTATCCGGGAACCCTTCCACGGCCTACCACCCTCAGACAGACGGGCAAACCGAACGGGTCAATCAGGAAATTGAAAAGTACCTCAAAATGTTCGTGAACTACCGACAAAATGACTGGAGTGACTGGCTACCATTAGCCGCCTTCACTCATAATAATCGCAAGCATTCGGCGACCGGCTTCTCCCCCTACAAAGTAGTGTTTGGACGGGACGGACAAGTCATGAAAACCGCACAACGTCCCGACGTAGTACCAGCAGCCAAAAAACTGGTCCAAGGCATTCAAGAGATACAGGAGAAAGCGAAGGAATCTCTGGAACGCGCAGCGGAATCTATGAAAAAAGCCTACGACAAGCATAAAGGCAAAGCAGTGGAATACCGGGTCGGCGACAAGGTATGGTTGGATTCCACCAACCTGAACCTTCCTCGCCCGACCAAGAAACTCGGCGATCGACGTGTAGGACCCTTTGTTATACTGGCAAAGAAGGGAGCATCCGCGTATGAACTCAAGCTCCCAACGGGGTGGAAGATCCATAATCGATTCAACGAGTCCTTGTTGACTCCATACTATCCTCCCGAATTTCCTGACCAACCACACCCTGAACGGCCGCCCCCAGAGCTTGTCGAGGATGAGGAAGAATACGAAATCGAAGAGATCGTAGGAGAAAGGGACCGTCCCATCGGCCGAGGACAAACCCGTCGCACGATTACCAAATACTTGGTAAAATGGAAGGGATACCCAGCGGAGGAAAACTCGTGGGTCAAACGGTCGAATATGGCCAACGCCGAAGAACTCGTTAATGAGTACGAGGCGCGCATACGAAAAGTATTATGGACGGTTAATGAGAAAGGAAAGACAGTCGGGCGGGACGACAAGATCCCTCAAGGTCTCCCAATCCCATACCATGACCCCGATACGCCCTGTGTCACGGACATCATCACCGTTCCCTCTTCGCAATGCACGGCACCCGCACATTCGGATGAGTTGAACGCGATTGAGAATGACTACTCTTTCACAACAGAATCAGAAAACTACCCGACTTCCGATGAATCGGATGTCGATCACCTACAACAAGTCACAGAGGACTGGGACAAAGATGAAGATGATGACAACGATGTCGAGGACAATGTCCCATCCTTCTATTCCGAATCCCAAAACTCTTCCACAAGCAACGACGACGAGGAGTCAGAAGACTCGTTCGAAACGAACGAGTCTTAGAGGTCTATTTATGGTGTAGAAGGGGATTTCCACCGCTCATTCATGAGCACTGAACCCTTAGGGATCGCGGATCCCGACAGACAGTTGAGGCCTAACCGGCGCATGGTGGCTCTGGGTCCCAAAAGATACCAGAGTCCAGGGGGAGACGGGTCTGAGGCCAAACACAACGAGTGACCCTTTATGGTGTAGCGGAGGCCCAATCGATCCTGTTTTAAAGCAGAAGGGAGACCCTCAACTCGCAGATGCGGAAGGAAGGAGACATATTCTCATTCGGGACGAATGAGTCTTAAGGAGGGGGTAATGTTACGGTTATTCTTTTCTTTTTCTTCTCTTTCCTTTTCTTTTCTTACTCAGCCGGATTACGCGCAGGCGATCATCGCAGACTGATTCCCACAGTACTATTTTTAGTTTACCAATGTGTATTTAAGTAGAGCCTCAGCTGGTCTGAACCCCAGCTTCGGCTAAGGTTTAATCTACCTAACATCAAACTCCGTCCTTCGTGACTATCTGTCCCATCGACTTCGTCGCCTTTGACTTGCTAAAGCGTCGTCTACCGAAGTGCGAGTAGCGACCTTAGTACGATCTAAGTCGATAGAGTTAGTGGCTAACAGTATGCTAGTTCTAACATCTTCCTTTGCAGCTTCTGAACTCTACAAGCTCTGTATCATTCATCGACTGGTCTTCCCAGAAGATATCCACTGGCGCTGTACATGAGTTCGTTCCACGTATAGGTGTAGATGCTAGGTAGCTATATCTAGTGTATTATACATATCAAGTCTAACTAGTATTACCTCTTTCTAGTGGATGGATGTCTGCAGCAACGTTCCATCATGGGCAGACGAAGAGTCCAGCCCAAGTGTCACTTTTCAAATGACTAGGATGCCTATTTCATCTCCCGGTCATACCTTTATTCGTGTTCAATGGCCCACACCGCCCTACTTATAAGCGTAAAAAGATTGTGAAGAAGATGCCAATCTGGTTAACCAATGATTTCAAGCGACTGCTGGAAGGATTTGGGTTCTCCTATTGGGACATACGGCCTGTTCTTTTCTTTTCTTTTCTCTTCCTGACATGAAACACAGGCTCCAGGCGAAGCAGAGGCCGAGCTTGCGATGCTCTCGTGCCTTGGCCAGATTGATGCTGTGATGTCAGAGGACTTTGATACCATGCTATTTGGTGCTCAGCAAGTGATTCGGATGTGAGAGCAACAGTTACATTTTATCAGTGTGATTTTTAAACATATTCATTAGCAAAGAGGAAAGCGACTCCAAATATCTGATCGAGGTTCATGAGGCCGGATCCCAGTTCTCCTGCAACAATCTTGTAATGATCGCGTTACTCGCAGGGGGTGATTATGATGTAAGTTACGCAATGTTTTCAGTTGATATAGACTCATTCTTATGTGATAGGATGGAATTCAAGGATGTGGCATCCAAACTGCAGCTGATATCGCAAAGTCAAGTGTTGGAGAACGGCTGTTTGATGCCCTTGAAGCATCCGAAGTTGATGATTATGCCGCTGTTGCCTCCGCATGGCATTGGGACCTTTGCACGGCATTGGAAAAGCAGGGGGCTGGCCATCTTCATTCTCGGCAGCGTTCACTAGCTTCACGTATCCCGCTTGACTTCCTGAAGGTGTCGGTTCTCATCCAATATATTCACCCAGTGACATCCCAATCCAATGGGGCAGGTAATCTACCTGCCGCTCCATCGCTGCATCAACCGGACATATCCCAACTCGCAAAGCTATGTGAGGAGCTCTTTGTTTGGGGACATTCGATGGGCATCATCTGCAATTTCCGTGATCATGTCTTCCCAGGATTAGCCACCCGTGACCTGCTTCAAGATCTATGTAAATGATGGGGACTATTGAAAGATGACAACACTCATATCTCCCAGCATGCTATAGTTTCCAAAGTACATGCTGTATGTGTGAATCAACGTGAACAATCACATTCGGAGTTATATGTATCTCTCATCATTCCCGGTGAAATCCTAACTCAGATCACCTCTGCGATTGATGGGACATACAATACTGATACCACGTCAGATGAGTACAATCAGTTTGTGAAGAAACCCCAAGTTCATGCATGGCTCTCTCGTGTATTGGCCCTTCATGCACGGCCGAACATCTTGGATGATACACAACATCAGACCCTCAAAGCTGGCAAAAAACATAAGACAGTTGAACCAAGTATCAAGAAAATGAGGCTCATCGGAGCCAAGCCTCACTCAGCCCATTGGTATGTCAAGTATCCCTGCCTGTCAAATCTCTCTTACAATAACTTTTATGATGCCCTAGCTTCGACTTCTGCCAATCTACGAAACACCAGTCAAGGCTCAGCAGAACAGAACAGGTCTTACCCGGTCTTAGAGATATCTAGTGATGAGAGTGGTGAGGAAATGACAGGCAGGGCTCATTTCAATGCCATGTATGGCCTGTTTCTTACAGTTTTTTTTAAAGAAGCCACTCCAATAAAGCGCCAGAAACGTAACTCATCTCCAAAGTACCAAATCGAAGTTCGCTATACAGTGAAAGGGGAGATCCTGGAGCTATGCACAGATGATGAGAATGGATTCTAAATAGGAGCACCTACCCCTCTTTTTTTCATATATATAGATAGCATATCATGGACTTTATCGCTTGACTCACTGTTCTCTCTTCCTCTCAGTATCATATGGACATGAACACGACCAATGATATCACAAATGTGCTAGGAATTCACAAGGTCCTAGAAACCCTATCCTCAGATTTAGAGATCATAGATGACATTGAGGGTGAGCAGGAGAGTTGCGGTGTGTCCAATGAGTACGATGGTAATATGCAGATGGACCTGAGTGCATCGGACGATGTTGAGGAGGTTTTAGCCAATATTAGCAAAGCATCAAAGGGTGTCACGGAAGGCACTGATGCTGCATATAAAAGGTCAACTGTTATCCTCAGTTTCTGATACCCTGCATTATTCTAACGTTCAACACTTACACAGGGTCATGACGGTGTTTAATAACTTCCTCATTAAGGAGAACATCATCCAGCCAGGCACTAATATATTCAATCTGCAGAAGCTTGACCCGAATATTGACTACTACATCGTAGGATTTATTATGAAAAAGTACGTCTGAGCATTCAGTCATATCATGTCTATCTGACTTGACGAGGTGTGATGATATTGATATGCATGGCACAAGCAAAGGGCCTGACGATGCACAGAGGAGCTACTCACACACTCAAAAGCTTAGGGCAGGCACCACCTATGGCTTCCGTAAGACTGGTCGTCGAGGTAAGGTACCTTGGAACAGAGCAACAGCGCTTGGAAACCCGTTGATCTCTGATCTCATGTCCTCATACATGTTGGGTCTGCACAAACGCAAGGTACGCTGTGAAACTCATCAGTAATATATGTAGGCTGATGAGAAACACAGGTCACCAAAGGCGAAACTTCAACTAGTGCTCGAGCCATTAGTCCTGTATGTCTCTGTTTCTGTTGTCAAAAACTCATTACATCTTTTACTTTCTAGGGTATTCTGAAGCAGCTCTATGTGCATAATCATAAGCACGAAAACTGGGATAACAATCACCTGTCCCAGGGAAACTGGTGTGGAGGAAACATGCGGCGATTGCTCCAGGCTGTCTACCTCGTAGCATTTACATGCTTACTCCATATTGACAAGGTGTTGAACATTCAGGCCCATGAGGTTGATCTCTACAATGATGAAGTTGATAACACTGCCTGTGTTTCGATCACCCTTCCTTTTCATAAAAATGCGCAATTTGGTGGTAAGTGCATTTTACTGCTACAGTGCCATTGCCTGCTGACTTGTTTGGGATAACAGACATACCTCCATTTGTATTACGAGAACTGCCAGAACATATGGCACATCTCTGTCCTGTTCGAGCTCTCGCCACATGGATTGGCACCTCAAGGATTAACAAAGGGAATCTTTTCCCCAACATCGATAAACGTGACTGTCTCAACACTGCCAAGAACACCGCAATGGTAAGGTATGGGTTCTATATGCAAGTGGTCCATGCTCATTCAGAACTTTGTTAGAAACCAGAGGTCTTCCTGCAGCTCTTTCGGAATAACCTGTGGGACTTGGGTATCACACCATATCCCTATGGTACACATTCTTTTCGCCGTGGTGGATGCCAGTGGTTCTCATGTGATCTCCATTGGTCAATTCGACAAATCTGTGAGTGGGGTGGTTGGAGCTTGGACTTTTCACATATGACAATTGTCAAGTATTTGATTTCATCAAACGACACTCCAACTCTTTGTCGTGATGAATTTTTCAAGCTTGACCACCAAGTAGTCAAATGCTGGACCTGTGGACGAACATGTCCATGTGCTTAATTTTAATTGTGTAGTTATCTCATGTCACAAAGTAAATAAGAAAAACATTGTAGCATTCCAAAACTACGACATGAACTGTGAACTAAACATCCTCATTGCAACTAATTCCCATCTTCTTCCTATAGTCAGGCAATTGTTGGACCATCCTTCATGGCAACCAATTTCCTACCCCTTTTATAACCAAAGTGATTGATGAAGTCATCACCATACTCAGCTGTCACTTGTTTTGCTAATTCGAGATTTGCGGCTGTTCATCGCTCTAAAAGAATTTTTTTGATTCGAGAGAATTTCAGCCTCTGTCCTTGAGAGTCGGAAAACTCGGCCCAGAAGGCTTCAGGTGTCTCAAATGCCTGATATGCTTCAATAAAATGCTGAAGGCAAGAGGTGAGAATATGAACAACAGAAAGAAAAGCAAACATACTTTCCAATCTAGCCAATTGCTCTTGAGTTTTTCCCATTCGTTCCCTGTTTTTTTATTGAGTTTGTAGATGTCTTTCCAGTACTTTATTGGAACCAGGCGACCATGGATGATTGGATAATCAACGGATGGGGCCCAGTCTGGATTACGATCATCCCAGCACCGAATGAGACTTTCAAGATTTGATGCATAGCAGAATGGTTTAGTCAGCGGAACATCACCCTGATGAACAGTTATGGTCTGGCCATCAGCAAAGACCAACGAGCACTGAATTGGGTTGATGGCAGTATCATCAGATGATACTGGAGCATTCCCATCGAGTTCAGATGTTGGCAGAGCAGGTGGAGAGAGCAGCATGGATGGTGAAGTCATCTGCATGGGCTCAAAGGGTGGTAGGATCGGTGAGTCTGGTCGGTCCACAATACCAGAGAAGACTTCAGTTGAACTTGCAGTGAGCCCCATAATGGTCGAGTCGAAATCCATGGAGGGACAGGGGGTTTCAGGTGATACAGTCAAAGACAAGGACGAGGGGGAGGATTTTTGATGAGCAGCCAACTACTCCTCGACGATAGAGGCAACACACTGGACAAAGTCAGGGCTTGCAAAAGGATTCTGTGCATTGGAGATGGCTGTCAGGTCGAATCAACAGTGAAAAGTAATGACACGTACCATACCAGGCTTTTGCGTGCTATGATTGTGGACACTGTTGACCCCAGGTTCTGGAAGATGGGTATTGCAGAGATTCTGTGCATGTTCTTCTTCTTTCGCTATCTTGACCATAAGAACTTCAGCCTGAAAATGCAATCAACAAACCAAGCATGAATAGGAACAAAAACAGACTCACCCAAGGTATGAAGCTGTCTATCTTGGCCTGGCTACGAGTATCCTTGAATCTTGACATAGGGAGGAGTACCCTTTGAGGGTTGCTCACCGGTATGCTCACCTCATGAATGCGGGTTGCTCGACGTGTCAGCTTCCTCTTTGTAATAGCACCATCCCTCACCACTCTCACTCCCTTGTGAGGAATACGCATCGGAGTGAGAATACTGTGAGAGGAGAGGGAGATGAGCTCGCATCTGTGTATGGCATGAATGAACGTACTTTGCCTTCCACTTTTCCATCCCAGCTTGGCTGAACTTCACAAGCCGCTCATGAAGCATCGTTTTGTTGCCTGTATGTGCGAGTCCGAAACGCTGGCAAAGTTCTGCAAACCAGGGGACCTTGTGTGTAAGAGACCTGGGGAATGGCATCAGTCAAAGCAAGACCAGCAAACAGGAACAACATACAGGTCAATTTCCTCCGTTTGAAAATTGCTGTTCTCATCAAGCCAATTTTTATTAGGGCCATCTTGACGAGGGCAAGGGAAGACATATCGCTGCTGCTGCTCTGGCGGCAGCACGTTTGGAGGCAGTGGAAAAGAATCCATGATGAGTTTGAGTGTGTTGGTGGATGCGCGTCGCTGCCGTTGAACAAGTTGCCTCCTCCTAATGAAGAAGAAAGTGAGGATGAGGATGCCGACAAAGGACCCTGTGAGACAAGCAGCAAGACAAAGGCCATGATCAGTGGCATCGTCGTTAACCCTGGCGGCAAAATGTCTGGGTTTAGTCAGGGGGGTGGTGTGGAGAGAGAGAGACACGATCTGGAGAGAGAAAGGGAAAATGGGAGGAGTACAATGTCTCCAAACCCAAACCCAAAAACGAACAAGCGAGCAAAAATCAAGCAAGCATCGAGCGAGCGAACAAAAGCAGTGCTCCCCGACAAAAGACATCACGCCACAGTCACGATGATACGCCTGGTATCAGGCTACCCGTAGATTTTGCGATTTTACATCAGTTTATGCAATCTACAAGCAGTACAGAGGGCTACAGTGGAGGCTTCGCGCTGGTAGCTAAATACTACATAAAGAATGAAAGCACGGCAGTACAGAACGGACTTAGAAACGACATCTCGAAGAGTCAATTCTACCAGCCGTCAACACGCCAAGCTAAGCCCTACCTAAACAAGACTATTACAGTCAAATCTCGGGGACTCGTCTGTATGGAGTATAAAAACCAAGAAGTTGAAGAATGGAACGAACTAGATGCCTCGTCGCCTCGACGAGTAGAAAGAACCTGTCAGGAAAAATTGCTAAGTCGAGAAACAGATCAGCTTTCGAGATCAACTCAGGCTAGGAAAGGAATAACCTTGGAAGAATGAATAGCCACGTTGGGTACCGAGATGACCGACTTTGATCGCGCAGTGATCAACAGAATACAATCTCGGACCTGCAGTCGATCGCGATCGGTGGTTACCTCCTCGAGATCCTGCGCATACCGCAGTATTCAATACATACGGCGCACGGCAGGCCTTGCAGACGGAAGAAGGAGCACCCACGGACTAGTAGGGCACTCCTCGGCAACAGAATAACCCGGCGCAGTCGCGTCGAACTGAATAGAAACTACGGAATGGCGCAATACTTGTAGGATAGTGACTCACTGTTTGTATTAATTCCAAAGCTCATACCATAATTACTGTAGATACGGGCTCCTATACCTAAAACACGAATCGTATAAATTAGCAGCGACTAGATGCATAACGGCAGGAAAGCATTCCCCCCGCGTTTGTGCTAGTAGCCTGTATAGCTACCTAATCAATCACTGGTTTTTATTGCATATCCTCGACTGAAGTGAATTAAGTTACCAAAGTCAACCCATAAGGGCGACTACAGTAATCTAGAAGAGTTAAGTAGGAAGTAGAGCCGTCCCCGCGTTTGCGCCTTGCTAGTTAATTGAACTGCTCCGCGGACAAAGGCCTCGTGTTCTCTCTCTCCGAGATTAGCGATCTAGACGTGCTGAGTCGACTTTAAATCAAAAGACCTCATCTAGTTGAAGTAAAATAAGCCCTAGAACGCTTTAAGTTCGAACAATCGTCGAGTTCAAGGAACTCCAGAGTCTGTGTACTCTTTGCAAGTCTTGTACTTGAAGTCAGAACCTGAGCGTTCTTTGTAGAGTGATTTTGCACTCTTTGTAGACCTCGGAGTCTTTGGTTGTTTGATTATTTGAAGTGTCCGCTAGAAGTTCTTCTAGACGACGTTGAAACAAGCATAACTTGCTCGACTATACCTTACAAAACAAGTTCATAAAACCCCGCTATCGCGGACTAGTGTACTTTGTGTAAAACACATCGAAAGAAGAATTGAAGTTGTTTTCAGGCAAAACCCCACTAGATTATCTAAATCTAAGTACATCGCGAGTGCTTCTATCGTACTCACCCTCGAACTTATATACATTGGTGATTGTGTGTGTGTGTGTGTGTGATTTAGTATCTAGATTGACGATCTAGACGCTAGTTTCATTTGCGCGCTGCCCGTTACCGAGCACATCAACGAACTCTCACCAATCCGCCAACGAAGGATGTCAAACAGACACAGTGACACATTTGTGTCAACCGTGTCAACCATTGGAATCCACCCACATGCACAAACACAAATCTCATCGATGAAAGACGTCAAATGAGATAGGCGACATATTTGTGTCAACCCACCCGGAGGGAAAAGAGAAAGGGCCAAGACCCCCGCGGAGGCAGTAGGGGAGGGAGCCAAACAGATCGTGGAGACGGTCGCAGGGACGGGGAAACGTCTTTGACAACAATTGATCCCGGGAGTTGCCGCGTGATGGGACCGTCGTTACTCGGAGAGAAGCCCCGGCCGTTTCACTGGGTTCCCATGGTAGTTATCTGCTGCCAAAGGGGTAGCAGTATTCCACGCTTTTGCTGATTCGATGAAAATGGGACATCATGGTCTGATGTCAAGTTTGGATTGGCACCGTGATGCTATTAACTTGGTCCGGAAATGACAATCTCGGAGGCTGGGCCTGATCAAATAAATTGGAGGGAGGCGATAAATTGAGAGAAGAACGGTTAATCAACGCGAGTTTAGCATATGAATTCCCAAACTGTATTGTATGTCAGAGCTCGTTACAATTCAATCCGTCTCTTCCACATCTTCATCATCGCAAGGCCTGTACTTTGCAGCGGCACCCGTCTCTATGATGTCCTCCAAGATAGCCTGACCTAGCACAGTGTGCCACCGTGGATCACTCAGAGGTACGATAGCTTCCATCTCGGGATCGTCGTAATCCACGCCAAGCTCACCCATCATCTCAAAAATGGCCCCGTTCGGGTACTGTTTGCGAATGTCACAGTCTAGAAGGTTCACTCTGAGTGATAGCCGGAAATGTTCCCTGAGGTAATAGTCGTCTGGTCCGTTTGTTATTGTGAGGTGGGATGGTAACAGCGATTGAGCGGGACCAATATTGCGAAATAATACGACACGGTGGTTATCCTAGAACTGGATGAGCGATGAGAGTATCAAGGAAAAAATCACGCACGTCAACATCGACGCTAAATGCGTTGTCCAAGAAGAACGGAACGAGATCCTTATGCAGGAAGGCCGCATTTGGTGCTGTTTCGAATTCTGCTGGTGTAGCGAATACAGCAAGAGGGTCGCTGTGATGGGTCTGCAAAGATAGGTAAGAACTAGTACGCATATTCTCCGACAGGAGCCTTACTATGCGAGTATAATATGGTGTAAAAATCCATACTAGCTCTGTGTTCGCCTCAGAGCCAGTGATAAAGCACCGCTGTCGATCTCTCTCCATGACCGCGTGCGCCACTTCCGGTATGACATCAAACTGTGTGAAGAGCCGTCAGCCAGCCGAAGACATGCAGACGCGACGAATTTTACCATCTTTTCTGGATCGCAATGGCCACCAGAAGCGGTCTGTTTCATAGTCAGGAAAGACTTAGGCCTGATGCTTGAAGCAGCTTCGGGAAGACATCGGTGTTCCCATCTGTCTAGGGAGACCATGTCAGAAACACTGTGAGATAGAGAGGCAAGACTTACCGGATAGATACCAGCCGTAATCGCCTGGAGGTAGCGGGTCCGTCGATTGCTCAGGTATGGGGGGACCACTGCTGCGGCGTACGCCGTATGCCATGATACCTATCCTGTGTACAGTGACGGGGAAAAGGCAAAAAGGAGCGGTGAACGGATCCAGGAGTGACATCCATCGATGTACGAGGGCGCTGGTGAGGGGTATGAGTCGTTGATTGAATGCTGAATAAGGGCGCTGAGCTTTTGGAAATTATCGGGAGAAAATGATGGACCCACCTACGACTAGGTAACTAGGTACTGTGTTTGAGAAAATAAACGTATCGTTGTCGTATTGCAAAGACTTGGCAGAGAGAGTATGAGAGGTGGTCATCACTGGTATAGGGGCGCAGCCGGAAAAGGGTTTTCAGTTGCAACGCCGTCGCGTGACCTCGGCTCGTGAGTCGTGCCCCATCGTCAACAAAAGCGAGATACAGAATTACTTAGCAAAGACAAATCTTCAGACACAAGAAAAGGATATAGATAAATGCACATACCTGAATTTGCCGATAAAGACACCTAAGGATCATGCTCGCCGGCGGCCGGTGACGATGCGCACTGTTATCAATTTTACCAAGCCATGACAGGCGATTATAGGCTATAGCGTGGTCAGTTGAAGTATTCAAAGCCTACATTCACTCTGGAGCATTCTGTCGATATGCTGTGCCTTGTGCTGCTCGTCGTGGATATCTGGCTAACTTTTAGTGGAACAGTGAAATGAAGACGAAGTCATAATACACATCTAGGACTTGCAATCATTTTCGTAAACGTAAGTCTGTGACTCTCGTCTTTGCAAAAGAATTCGTTGCTTGCCGGTCTTGTTGATGGAGAAGTAGGCCAGGACTATCGGACCTGTCACCTCAGCAACGGTAGCCGCTATTCAAAAAGCGAACGTCCTCCGTTCCGGGGATATCCATAAGACTATCATTGCAAGCAGACAGAAGGAGCAAAGAAGAAAACGAGGGCCCCGGAAGAAGCTCTATTCGTTTGCCGGTGATTGACAAAATGGAAAAGGGACCCATGTGGATCCATAGCTCGAACCAATCATGCCACGTGACTACGTGCCGCTGAGTCTTCTCAATGTTTGAATTTCTTTCCTCACTCCACCATGCACGACTTTCCCCTGCACCGTCTGTCGCTGAGAAACCAATTTCGTCGCTCACACGTCGTGTCGACTTCACAGATAACAATACGTTCGCACCTGGTTTTTTGGTACCTCGGCCTATCCTCGACCGACAATAGCTAGGCACTTCAACTTCATGGGCTAGCACTATTTTTCCCATTTTCGCTACCAGCCTTCCCCGGGTCTCGAAGGAGGGATACAATTAACAATAAACGGATTCAGGCCGGTTGCCTACAGACTGCCGCCTCGTTCGGCCGCGTCTTCGTCCCTCGTTATCGTTTCCTGATCGATACCTTCATGACGAGACGGCCGAGCAGAAATCAGGGCTAGCATTGAAGGTGTAAGAGAGATTGCTGTATGGGAACGATGTGTATACTCAAGGCGGGGAAGAAAGCTCAGATGCGTCGTGCGTGCTTGTCGTTCCGTTTTTCGTTTGTCGTGTTCATTGACTTTGCAGCGTTATAATATACATCCATTCCAGAAATCCGATGTGACGGAGCCCGGTGTACTACTATTGACGATGACGAAACAATATCCCTCTCGATTCTCCCTCTCACCGGACGTAATCACCAGCGCACTCTCATTTCACACCATCGTGTTCCTGCCGGCAGCATCTCATGACGGGTATGTAAGGCCAATGATAGGATGCGGCGTGCCAATGGAAATAGCGACCGACCGTCTTTCTGGCACATTTTAATCGTGCACTGTATGAAGCACGATACCTTGAATGAGGAGGAGGCTGGAGACAGGAAAAGCTTGCTATATGCATTTTTGATGCCATATCGGACGATGAGAAAAAGATGAGCGATGCAGGCGATCTCTCTGTGAGAATATTTCATCTTCTTCATGGTTGTCGCGTTCATTAGTTTCCTAGTACCGTGCTCAGCGTTTATCTCACCTTAAAACCACAGTCGAAGGATGCGTGTGCTCTCAAGCTCGGCGTGCGATGCGGAACATGTCACTCCCCATTTCCCTTCGTCCAGCACCTACCTGTTGATATTATTTCCACGGTGATTATCTATACTTCAAGAGCGAGCATACGAGCCGACTTTACACGCCTTGAAGTTCAAGAACTCCCAATGCTACGTAGGCTTCGGGAGACGTCAATTTGAGAGGAGAAATCATAGTAACTGACTTCATCCGAGGTAAATGCTCTTATGTTCTTTCAACTGCTTTCTGACTCACGTTCGGACCTTGTTCTAACGGCCCCAGGATAGTTCTTGTCACTGGAACCGAAGTCGCGCACATGCGAGTATAAAATCTTAGCCGCAGTCATGTTGACTGATGCCGGTCTAGAACCCGCCGACCATGTATAGGTTGTAATCCGGATGATTGACGTACGGGTCCTCGCGGTGGTTCCCGCTACGTCCCTCAGTTGAAGACGGGTCCCAAACAACCCTGGGGTGCCCGTCTGAGAGGAATGCGGTGGAACTTGCGGAGTGGGCGATGTCGTGTTTGAGTGGTGGGGCATCTTTGCATCGCTTATTTTACTGCTCCTGCGTCGCTTCCCCCCCCGACTGGCACACGATTGTTCAAGCCCCGGTAATAACTCCATTTCTTTTTAGCCATTCGCGCTCAAGCACGTTAAGCTTCTAGGTTGTAATTGTATTGCGAACTTGTAGTCGGGTTCCTGGCAACCTGATGCTCATGCCGTACACTCCAAATAATTAGATACAGATCCTGAGGCCAATGTACGGACTTCGTCTGTAAAGAAGCCTCCGTCATACAAGTAAATAATGTGGACCTAAGTAGATGTATTGCGTACAGCCTCGTCACTTAGAAAACCAAACACGCTCTTTCCTTCGTTCTCCAGCAACCACCGGGCCTTGGTAATTGCCCTGTCCTTCTAAATCCTTCGTAATATGCTCGATGAGATCATTGTATGTCAATTCATTCGTCCAGTTGGATATGAGAGTACGAATGAGTGCTCGTGTAAAGCACCCATTGTAGCCTTCTCCATCGGGCCCGGAAGTCTCCTTCGCCTTCTCATACTCGGCACAGGCAGCAACGACGACATGAGATTTCATGTCAAAGAACCAGTTGCCATCCGAAACCGATACATAGCTAGGAAAACGTCTCATGCTCTCATCCGCGGCCTTCAGTGCTTTCTCAAGTAAACTGCGTTTTAATTCAGGGGCCGCGCGCACTCCTTCCTCCGCATCCCTTGTTGCGCCAGCCGAGTAGCAGCAATCAAGAATGACGGTAATGTTAGGACCCTTCGCCTGGGATATCTGAGTGAGGATGCTGTTGAACTCTCGGTCGCTGATGTCGGGAATCGTAGGGCCACTGTCGGCGGCGTCGTTGCGGTCAACAGGGCAAATAGCTTCAATGCCACAGAGTTCGCCCTTGCAAGAGGGCGAATCACGACGATGTGCGCATTGGTAGCTCGCGCCATGTCCGGCGAAGTAGATGATGATGTTTTCACCTTCGTTTATATTGGCGTTGTCGATGAGGCTGTGGAGCTTTCGAATAATGTTGTCGCGGGAAGGGGGAAGGGTTTTGCCTGTTAAATTGGGGTCATCCGAACTAAGCAGGCTCTCTATACGACCCTTCGGTACACCCAGATGTTCGTGCAGGAACATTTCCATTAAAATGGCATCCGATACGCAGCCTTTTAATGAAGAATTTGGATACGCGTCGATGCCAATGAGAACAGCCCAGAATCGCGAGGCATCAACGAGGTGACGCTGGCTCTGACATGCTTCAGATTAGTATCAAGGCTCTGTATTATAATAAATTTAGACAATTACAGGCTTCTGGGTTTGGAGGAGGGAGTAGATATCCTCAGGCCTGTTCAAGGTAGAGGTCACAGTGAAGGGACGTGCTGTATGGGACGAATGGCCGGAAGCATCGACCTTGTCGAGAATGAAGATGAGAATCCAACATCATCCAGACAAGCGGGAAACATACAGAAGTTGAACTAACGTCAGTTGAAGGAGCAGATGCCATGAATCGCGGTGGGAAAGCAGCTCGGGGCATGTCCGGATGAATCACGGCTGATCCTTCTGAAGCGGGTGCACAACAGTGTGAGTGAAGCAGCCTGAATACCCACCATAGACCACGCCCACCTTCATCCTCGAGGTTTTGGGGAGGTCCCGTGTTCCGATATCCGCTTCCGAACATGTGGCGGTAGCAAGACGTCAAGGAGTGAACAAGTCGGCCTCCAGTCCTGCCCAGCACCGTCTCCCTTGCCTTCATCTCTCTGGGCTGGTCGAATGTTTCAGGCGTATCTTGTTTCATGTCTCCATTGTGAACCTAAAATATCGACATCAGAACGGTATTTCCACAATATTTCCATGGTCAGGAAATTTACAACGAGAGGAGCAAAGACAGGCAATAATACTAACCGAGGTGGACGCGGCCCTCAGGGAAGATGGGGGGTTTGACAAATGTGTAGCGTTAAAACCCATATTTTCAGGGCTTGTTCCCCAACACCGAGCTTATAAGTTATCCGTGGAAATGTGCAGCTCTAACGTGAGTATTAACTTGATTTTGGTTCGTGAAAGAGGGAGATCAGGTCGAAAGTGAGAGGCGCCGTAAAACGTTACCATTTCTCATGTTATATAGTTTTGAAACACCAGTCAATTGCCGCATGGAAGGCCAAAACGTGTCCTTCGCAGTGATGCTTGATCCGATGCGATACACTTGAAACTAGAGCGAATTGCCGATCATCGTGGTCTAGGTTGCATTCATATGGGCGTATGTATGGGTGTAATAGTATGGGCATAATGATGTCCGAAAAATAGCAAGGTCAGAATTTGTTATTTCGAGTACAACTTTACGGAATGGACTCACGACTTTAAACAAGTTTGACTAGGTTTGAGATGTGGAGTAAATATGAGCACAAGATGAGTTTATGATTACTGATCATTACACAAGTAAAGAGTAACTGTTCAGGGGATGCACGAGTTAAGTAGAATAAAAGTAGTGATGTTTGAGTGATCTCGCCCAGCTTCGCGCCAGTTAGGCGTGCTCCCAGGCGATTTTCGGCATTACCCTACACCTGCCACCATATCGGGTATGCCGTCTTTCAGCAATTCATCACCTACATGTAAGTAATTGAGAATTTTTTCATGTCACGTTCCTGGCCTTTTTTTTTTTAGGGGGGAGTTCAAGTTGATGAGCATTTTATTAACCGCCACAAGTAAACTAAGTATCTACTAGGACACGGTGGAGGTACAGGACATCAGGCTTCCTCCACTCTTGCTCCGGTCCCACCGGTCCTTCTTCTGATGTTCCGTGGTGATTTAGTGTGTGATGTGGAGTAGAGTAACGGATATGTTTTTGCGTTCCGTGACGGGCTAATTCAATTGCTTCTGCGGTTGACCAAGGCCGTCGGGTGTTTTGCGAGCGTGTCTTGTGTATGAGTCGTGCTGGTTGTCACTTGTGCTCCTGTGGTGTGGTGGGTATGCAGCACCTATCCATGCTCGTCTTCTGTGTCGTCTTCTTATTCTTCCCCATCGCTCTTCTTCCTTCGGTTCTGGGGCACGCCTCTCGCCTCGAGATTCTCCTGACAGGGTGAATGCTCCCGTGTTCTCTATGAATTCGATCAGAGCTTGATCAGAGCTGTTATCCCTTCCTTGGTGCCAAGGATGTCTGGTAGATATGAATCTTTACCACCTCTCGGAGTATCCCCCATTGCTCTTCATAAGGAGGGTATTCGCGTATAATGTGTTCCCGTGTCTGGAATGGCTCGCACAAGGACAGTCAACATCCTTGCTTGGGTATAAAACTGTACATAGTACTCGCCGATGTATCCATGACCGACCGGTTCTGTATTGGAGGACTCGACGTTCCTGACCCCTTTCCGGCTGATTTCTTGTCCCTCTCTGCCAGTCCCTGCAGCGGTGTATTGACATGAAAAATAGTCACAGTGACAGCCGAAATGATTCGACTGTAGGAACGGCACCCTTCGGTTGTGTCCTAATTTTTGGACTCTCTCACATGTTCTTTGCGAAACGTCAAGCTCGTTGTTGGGTCATGTCACACGGTTGTTGAGGTGTACTACTAGTACGTAGGTATACTAGCCACATGTCTGTAGGTACGGCACGATGCGTCACTACAGTTGACATCTTTGTATCTAAATAAATGATGATGATGAGGCCCCAGGCTAACTATTCTGCCCTGCAGTCCGGAATATGTACTTGAGCAATAAGGAAGTAATCTGTTCTGTGTTTAAGGTTCCCCAATCTATATTCCAGATTTTAGCCGCGCCTCCTGCTTGAACCAAGTGCTGTACCCGATTTCGCTGAATTCCTACAGCCCACACTTCTCGCTTGAAGGGCTCTCAAATCAGACTTAAAAAGGAAGAACCAATGAAAAGCGCGAAGTAGTAGCCAATGAGAATGGGTACGGAAGCATGTTCCGACTTCCGCATGTTAGATGAATGGGTTACAAAACGGAGCATTGCTCCCTCAAAAAGCACCGCACATCTACCGACATTCCCGTCAACCTGACCGTATTTTTTTCAGAGTATCCGAATGCCCACTATGACAAACCTTCTCCGGCTATTTCGTGACATACTTTCTAAACCTCGCGATAATAATGACAGGGACACAGCTCTCCATGATAACCTCTCAAAGGTAGAGAATTCTAGTCAGGATCGGACGTTCACACATGGCTATGCTCGCGCCTCGGTAAGCATCGATTTGTGGATACTCCAGCATCGACTCTACAATTTGTGTTAGTATTTTGACAAAAGACTCGAAGAATTGCGGGAAGAGATCAATCGTTTGAAAAAAATTGAAAAGGAGCTGGCAAGCGAATATGGGATGAGTAGCGACCCCAATCGATCCTGTGGAGGTTAGAGAACGGGCAAGAAGAGAAGGCGAAAGGCGGTGACACCAACTCATGTTCGGATTTCGACGCGCTCCACAACCTCTATCATTCTCGTAAAGAATACGCTGAGAGGATGCCGAGGCCTCCTAAATTGCATGCTCCTTTGCTCCCAATTGTGAGCGTGTACCTCTAGAAAAATACTCTAAAAATTTGACGAGAAGCCCTTTAGCAAAGTCTTCACGTTGATGCCTCCCGATTCTGGGCTGTTATAATTGGCATCGACGGGTATCCATCTCATAATAAATTACTAGGCTGCGTGTCAGACGCTATCAAAATGGGGACGTTCTTGTATGAAGATTTGGGTGTCCCAAAAAGACCGAATCGAGTGCCTTATCGATGGCACGCACACACTAGAATTCTGTAGCAAAACCTACCATCCATCTCGTGCCAAACATTCTCATGACACTGTTTGGTCTCATCGACAACCCCGAGATACAGAAAGATGAAAATATAATCATCTACTTCGCTGGCCACGGCGCAGCTTATCGTGCTGAAGGGATCAATGGTGTATAGGCTATCGAGGCCCTCTGTCCTATTGACCGTGGTTCCCGTGACGCAGACGGTATGCTGATCGCCGACATCAGCGATCGCCAGATCAACACCATCCTCACCCAGATATCCCATGCCAAAGGACGTAGAATTACCCTCATCCTGGATTGTTGCCATGCAGGCAGCGTCACCAGAGCTCCCCCAGGTGGAAGAGTACGCGCTTCCAGGCCTCTTCAGGACAGTGACGTGTCGCTGCAAGACATGCTTGTTGCTGCAGATGCGGAATTGATGTCGAAACACTTCCCTGGTTACCGATCTATCTTGTCGAAGGAATGGTTCCCAGATATGGATTCCCATGTAGCTCTGGCTGCCTGTGAGGCATTCCAGATAGCAATAGAGGTAAAGGGGCAGGGGAAGGAAACTGGTGGCTATTTCACGACGCATCTTCTCGCTGCTTTGAGATCCGGCTGTTTGACAAGGGAGACGACCTATCGCGGCCTACTCGAATTCATTCCCGTCTCTGACAGGCAGACACCGGTTGTTGCTGGGACACAAATGGATGCACTTCTCTGGTTTCAGTAGTGATGGAGACGTTGTTTTGCTAAGTGCTATGTAATACCCAACTGTACTATTTCACTTTGAATTTTTCGAATAGGACCGAATGGTGGTGGTGGCATTACCGGCGCCAGGTCCCAATAAGGAACGGCCGGGTCCACAGCCCTGACATGGCGAACCATGCGCTGTGGCTGCGAAGGCTCATACCGTTGTAATCACACTGTTGAGTGCGTCTCGTGGAGTAGAGACTCTTCGCAGGGTACACAATTGAATGAAAAGTGATGAAGATGAGACAGAACATAGATAACAAAGCACGATCGAGCACGGAGAACCAGTTAGCATTGGCGTATACGTCGAAAATTCGGTGCAGTGTATGCCTTTAAGAATCACTGCTGTCCAAAAGGAGGAGCGTTATGAAATGGCTCATCAGACATGTGCGTCAGTAATGACGGTGAAAGAACATGTGAACAAATGTGAAATACGTAACGGGAAAGTGAGACGTGGTGCATGGACCATGGGGTGTATGGAAAGTTACAAGTCAGCAGCAATGAGAAGATATCGAGTGCAATGGGAGCATACAAATCATCCACCAAGAAATGAAGAACTACAGACTGTAGGAACGGAATGCAAGCATCAGGTGAGCATAACAAACGAGGTCCGCTATAGCGTGCCTGCAGCGATGCTCGAGCCTTAGCCCATAAAGTGATGAAACGGGAACCAAGAACAACGAAGCAGGCAAGCTCCTTCGAAAAAGAGACTGCCTGCGAACGAAACACCGAGTACCACTAGACTGGTGAGATCCTTCGCAAAGGAGACCACCAGCAGACATAACAACCAAGTACCACTGCACAGGTGAGATCCTTCGCAAAGGACACCACCTGTGGACGTAACAACCGAGTACCACTGCACAGGTAAGGTCCTTCGCAAAGGACAACACCAGTGGACATAACAATCGAGGCCGTCAAACATAACTTCCGAATTCTGGTTGGAAGGAGAAGAGGGCCAGCGCAGATGAGTGGTCGAGGTGGACCAAGTTGATGCTTGGTCGAATGGTCGTTGGTCACAGGTGTTACCGAATAATCGAATGCGAGGTTAGCGACTGAGACATGAATAATATTGAATATCCTTCTTAATCCAGTTATTAGCGAAAGACATAGATAGATGAACGTGCATGATTACATCAACAACCAGTGGTCCCAGGCTTCCAAGGTCGTGATGCAGTTACATCCTCGGGCGATGGTGGCGAACAGCTGTTGTGGGCCCAAGGCAGATCATAGGGAGGCCGGAAGGAGTAGCCATAATTTGACATTTTTGCTGGCACTAGTGGTCGATATCTTGCGGTTGTTGCCGCATGTCGAGAATATCTGGCCAGTCAGGTAACCGTAGGTTAAAGTGAAACAAAACAAAGATGAACTGATATATACACACCTAGTAAGCCTTGTGACCGCATTGGCTATCACGTTAAACTCTTCCAAAGTATTACTAGGGATCCTATTGGGCGCAGGTATTATTATAGATGAGCAACATGAAGGAGGCCAGTGGATTATCGGTTGCGCAGCCACTGACGCTCAAAAGGCGAACGTCCAATATTCTGAGGACATCAACAAGGAAGAGACCATTGTCGCAGGATAGATAAATGAAAGAGAAGAGGAGCGAAAGCTCCAGGAAGTAGCCCTGCGCATTTGCTGATGACTGACAAAGCGGAAGGAGGGACCCATTTGGATCCACAAATAGATCAACAAAGCCACGTGGCCACGCTGCCTCTTCGCTTTTCTTCTTTCACCATCACGACTCGTTCCAGTTCTGTCTGTGGACGAGAATCATTCTCGTTGCTCATACATCGTCTTTACTGGCTGGGTAACGATACATACCTGGCCCTTTTTTGGTACCCTGGCCTATCCTCGATAATAGCCAGCGGCACTTCAATTTCAGAAGCTAGCGCCATTTTTCGCCTTTTGGCTGTCGACCCTTCACGGTTCTAGCAGACCGCATATCGTCGGAGAGAAACTCGCTGGCCGCCCCTTCGTTGCTTACTCAGTCAGTGTCTGTATATCGCTCAGTCATCCTTTGCCTTATCAACATGAATTTTACAGCAATCACTTTGGACGATGAAAAGAATCTGTTTGGTATTGAAGGGATGGAAGAGAGATTTCTGGATGCAACGAAGAAACCATATGACTCGTGCGTCCTTTCCACTCGGTCTCTCGACCTCGTCCTCATTAATTTTACAGTTCCGGTATCTGGCTCAATTCCCCAGAAATGCCGCCGCACCCCAGGAAACCCTATTTCCATGTCGTTCGATGCAAGACCAAAATTATCCATAGCGTCGGGGCACCCGACGATAGTTCATTAACCCTCTCGACGCTCGGTCTCACTCAAATGCTCGACGGTCGCTCGTTTCGTAGCCGCAAGATCCCATTTATATCTGTATCCATCCTGCGGTGACTATGAGAGCCTGTATAGTGATATCAGCATACACCAGCGAGCACGACGTACTGGAAGGATGTCACTACTGGAGGGCCAGGCGTGTTTCTTGTAACACTCTGCAAGAAAGCAGATCCTAGATGGGAAGAACAAGGGTTGAAGGTGGCTATATGCCTGACCCTTAAAATATTAGATGACGAAGAGATGCGCGATGCACCCGATGGCATGAAGCTCGTTGTGAGTATAATTTTATCCTTCCTTTTCATCGTGTTCATTAGTTCCTAGCTCCCGCGCCCACGCCCGACATTTATCTCGTTAGAAAGAATCACAACTGGATAGCGAGTAACCTTCGAAACCCAACTCCCAACTCAAGTCACTTTTTGTGACCTCGTCCAATATTCAACCGCCATCAGCCATTGACGATTTTTTTTGGCTCCGGCCATCATTTCGTTCTCTGCGGTATCAGATGCCATATAGCTTAGTGCAGGACCGGGATATTCCGTAGGGTTGGTTAGCAAGCGATCATCCCGCAGCACTCGTTTTCACCCAGACCCCAGTGCTGGCCGACTCCGACTTCACACTATCATGGCTCTGCTTGTATCGTGCCATGGCAGATATCTTGTGCCATCATAGGACGACACTTCTCAAGATGACGAGACATCTTTTCGTTGCTATAATCTAAGCGTGCACTGTATGAAGCTTCATGCTTTGGATGAGGAGAAGCGCGGCCTGGAGACAGGAAAGGGTTGCCGTATACATGTTTGTGTACCATCGTAGACGATAAGAAAGAAGGCAATAACGCAGTATGAACCTCGCTGTAAGTAAAAGTTTGTCCCATTTATGTTCGCCGTGTTCATTCGTTCCCTAGCATCATGCACATCGGTCACCTCACGAAAGTCACTACAAGTTGACGGGTAACTTTCCGAGACCAGTTTGCATGGTGCTTGAATTCCAGGATATCAGTTCCTGCTTCCTCCATCTGCCCCCTACTCGCCAATATTCTCCGTTTTCCTTCCCACGGCAACTATCTAGGATCTAGGGGCAAATATATGAACGTCTTGGGGCATGAGAGGTAACAATACCGCGCAGGATCGCGACCATCTGGAGGCGTAGATTCGACAGGAGAGAGATTGCCGTGAGAGGAGTGGCCTTAGACTCCTTCACGTGAGGTAACCTTTCGAACGCACCTCCTGATTCATGGTCTGATGTTGTTCCAGTAATTCCACTGAAATCTGGTTCTTTTCTTCGACATCCTTTCAGGCTTCGATGAGAGTGATCTGTAAGTAATACGTACGATCACTTTACTGTCTTCGGGAGCCCTTAAAGCTATTTTGGACAGGCTACCGACGTGAAACAAAGGATTTTCTACTACCCATGGCTATTGCGATGATCCGCCCTTTGCTCCCAATAGCTACCATATGGCAATGTCCAAGTGATATCTTAATTCCCAGTCCACACTTTAGCGAGTCTAATTCAGTCGCTAGCATTCGGAGCCCAGAAAATCGACATGAAAAGGAAGCTCCTGTCGGGTGTCTGGAAAGGAATTACGTGAAAGACAGACTGTAAGACGGACTGCTGTCGGTAATGGGTAATACGCCTTCCATCTGTTGATAGTGGCGGGCTCATGTATCGTCCAAAGATCCGCCGGTACAGCGTCAGCATCTACGGCGCGTGACAGTTTCATACACGTGAAATGTGACATGTCGCGAATGTTTATTTCTTAAAATTCTTTGAGCGGTTTGCCGTCCGTGCAGGCAGCAACAGGACTTGCTATTACTCATTAGGGATACAGAAGGTCGGGTTACTGGGTTCGTCATGATTCGTCTACTGACCGGTCAGCTGGCGTAACCCTATTGACATACAGACCGTCGACGGTCTCAGGCTAGATGTTGATCTGGAAAATTGCAAGGAAAACACCAGCACGAGCAAATAAGAAAATATATAATGTGGAGAAACCGTATGACGGTCAGACAAAATATATTTTTACAGACTCGAACACACCCTGAAGTTTAGTTTAGATCACTGATACGAAGGCGCACATCTTTCTTGATATCTTCTAACAACGGCGCTAGGCAGAGACCGAATAAGGTCAATATGCGTCGACTCATTCGTCCAGTTGTTCATACGGCCGCCTATGACAAGTGTCAAGGCTTAGAACTTAGCTCCAGACTGTTAGTAGTCGATTTTCTCAAAAGTGTTTACGGCTCTTGAGGTTTATGTGCATATATATTCACTTGTACTAAGCAGCTGAGAAAAAAATTTGACCGTCAGCGCCCAAACGAGCTACGGGGATTCAGAACCCTTGGCTAAAGTTTACGATATGGCTACCTAAAATTGTCTGACGACGCATGCAAGTACTTCCTTTAATCGTGCCTCTTCGCTATATCTTGGAAGATCATCATATTTCCACATTGCATAACAGCACAGGAACGAACACTTCATCAATGCAGAGTAGCACGATCTTTGATATAGCTGCATCTTTTTAGTACAGAGCAGGAAGCGAACTGAACGAGGCAAATAGCAAGAAACGAAAGCAAAGGACTCAGTCACCACGAAGGATAGTTTCATAGTTCGTGATACTTACTAGCCGACGTCAGCGAGCATCCCCATAGGCGGATTCGTGCTCTCGAGCGCTGGATGAAGCGAGAGCGCCCTGTAAACCAATAATTATGCTGTCTTCCGCTTCTCTTTCTGCGCCCCACCGCGCTCCCTGATTGAGCTGACTATTTCACGTATTTCGCCTACGACGTCAGCGACGTCGACGGAAATGGACATCATGGTAATTTGATGTCAAGTTCGGATTGGCGCCGTGATGCTGTAACTTGGTCCGGATGTAACATCTTCGGAGGTTGTGCCTGATCAAATAAATCGGAGGGAGGCGATAAATTGAGAGAAGAACGGTTAATCAACGCGAGTTTAGCATATGAATTCCCAAACTGTATTGTATGTCAGAGCTCGTTACAATTCAATCCGTCTCTTCCACATCTTCATCATCGCAAGGCCTGTACTTTGCAGCGGCACCCGTCTCTATGATGTCCTCCAAGATAGCCTGACCTAGCACAGTGTGCCACCGTGGATCGCTCAGAGGTACGATAGCTTCCATCTCGGGATCGTCGTAATCCACGCCAAGCTCACCCATCATCTCAAAAATGGCCCCGTTCGGGTACTGTTTGCGAATGTCACAGTCTAGAAGGTTCACTCTGAGTGATAGCCGGAAATGTTCCCTGAGGTAATAGTCGTCTGGTCCGTTTGTTATTGTGAGGTGGGATGGTAACAGCGATTGAGCGGGACCAATATTGCGAAATAATACGACACGGTGGTTATCCTAGAACTGGATGAGCGATGAGAGTATCAAGGAAAAAATCACGCACGTCAACATCGACGCTAAATGCGTTGTCCAAGAAGAACGGAACGAGATCCTTATGCAGGAAGGCCGCATTTGGTGCTGTTTCGAATTCTGCTGGTGTAGCGAATACAGCAAGAGGGTCGCTGTGATGGGTCTGCAAAGATAGGTAAGAACTAGTACGCATATTCTCCGACAGGAGCCTTACTATGCGAGTATAATATGGTGTAAAAATCCATACTAGCTCTGTGTTCGCCTCAGAGCCAGTGATAAAGCACCGCTGTCGATCTCTCTCCATGACCGCGTGCGCCACTTCCGGTATGACATCAAACTGTGTGAAGAGCCGTCAGCCAGCCGAAGACATGCAGACGCGACGAATTTTACCATCTTTTCTGGATCGCAATGGCCACCAGAAGCGGTCTGTTTCATAGTCAGGAAAGACTTAGGCCTGATGCTTGAAGCAGCTTCGGGAAGACATCGGTGTTCCCATCTGTCTAGGGAGACCATGTCAGAAACACTGTGAGATAGAGAGGCAAGACTTACCGGATAGATACCAGCCGTAATCGCCTGGAGGTAGCGGGTCCGTCGATTGCTCAGGGATAGGGGGACCACTGCGGCGTACACCGTATGCCATGATACCTATCCTGTGTACAGTGACGGGGAAAAGGCAAAAAGGCGCAGTGAACGGATCCAGGAGTGACATCCATCGATGTACGAGGGCGCTGGTGAGGGGTATGAGTCGTTGATTGAATGCTGAATAGGGGCGTTGAGTTTTTGAAAATTGTCGGGAGAAAATGAATTGATGGACCTACCTACGACTAGTACACTAGGTACTGTGTTTGAGAAAATAAACGTATCGTTGTCGTATTGCAAAGACTTGGCAGACAGATATGGGAGGTGGTCGTCATTGGTATAGGGGTGCAGACGGAAAAAGTTTTTCAGTCGCGTGACGGCGCGTGAGTCGGGTCCCATCGTCAACAAAAACAAGATACAGAAATGTTTAGCGAAGACAAATCTTTAGACACGAGAAAAACATACCTGAATTTGCTGATAATGACTCCCAAGGTCATGCTCGCCGGCGGGTCGACGATGCACACTGTTATGAATTTATCAAGCCATGACAGGCGATTACTTAGGCTATAGCGCGGTGAGTTGAAGTATTCAAAGCCCACATTCATTCTGGAGCATGCTGTCGATATGCTGTGCCTTGTGCTACTCGTCGTAGATATCTGGCTAACTTTTAGTGAAAAAGTGAAATGAAGACAGTCTTAATACACCTAGGCCTTGCAATAATTTTGGTAAATGTAAATCTGTCATTCTCGCCTTTGTAACAGAATTCGTTGCCTGCTGGTCTCATTGTTGGAGAAGTAGGCCAGGATTATCGGACCTCAACAGCGGTAGCCGATTCAAAAGCGACGTCCTCCGTTCGGGGATATCCATAAGAGTATCATTGCAAGCAGACAGAGGAGCAAAGAAGAAAACGAGGGCCCCGGAAGAAGCTCTATTTGTTTGCCGGTGATTGTCAAAATGGAAGAAGGGACCCATGTGGATCCATAGCTCGAACCAATCATGCCACGTGACTACGTTCCACTGAGTCTTCTCAATGTTTGAATTTCTTTCCTCACTCTATCATGCACGACTTTCCCCTGCACCGTCTGTCGCTGAGAAACCAATTTCGTCGCTCACACGTCGTGTCGACTTCACAGATAACAATACGTTCGCACCTGGTTTTTTGGTACCTCGGCCTATCCTCGACCGACAATAGCTAGGCACTTCAACTTCATGGGCTAGCACTATTTTTCCCATTTTCGCTACCAGCCTTCCCCGGGTCTCGAAGGAGGGATACAATTAACAATAAACGGATTCAGGCCGGTTGCCTACAGACTGCCGCCTCGTTCGGCCGCGTCTTCGTCCCTCGTTATCGTTTCCTGATCGATACCTTCATGACGAGACGGCCGAGCAGAAATCAGGGCTAGCATTGAAGGTGTAAGAGAGATTGCTGTATGGGAACGATGTGTATACTCAAGGGGGAAGAAAAGCTCAGATTCCTCGTGCGTGCTTGTCGTTCCGTTTTTCGTTGTGTCGTGTTCATTGACTTTGCAGCTTATAATATACATCCATTCCAGAAATCCGATGTGACGGAGCCCGGTGTACTACTATTGACGATGACGAAACAATATCCCTCTCGATTCTCCCTCTCACCGGACGTATCACCAGCGCACTCTCATTTCACACCATCGTGTTCCTGCCGGCAGCATCTCATGACGGGTATGTAAGGCCAATGATAGGATGCGGCGTGCCAATGGAAATAGCGACCGACGTCTTTCTGGCACATTTTAATCGTGCACTGTATGAAGCACGATACCTTGAATGAGGAGGACTGGCTGGAGACAGGAAAAAGCTTGCTTATGCATTTGATGCCATATCGGACGATGAGAAAAAGATGAGCGATGCAGGCGATCTCTCTGTGAGAATATTTCATCTTCTTCATGGTTGTCGCGTTCATTAGTTTCCTAGTACCGTGCTCAGCGTTTATCTCACCTTAAAACCACAGTCGAAGGATGCGTGTGCTCTCAAGCTCGGCGTGCGATGCGGAACATGTCACTCCCCATTTCCCTTCGTCCAGCACCTACCTGTTGATATTATTTCCACGGTGATTATCTATACTTCAAGAGCGAGCATACGAGCCGACTTTACACGCCTGAAGTTCAAGAACTCCCATGCTACGTAGGCTTCGGGAGACGTCAATTTGAGAGGAGAAATCATAGTAACTGACTCATCCGAGGTAAATGCTCTTATGTTCTTTCAACTGCTTTCTGACTCACGTTCGGACCTTGTTCTAACGGCCCCAGGATAGTTCTTGTCACTGGAACGAAGTCGCGCACATGCGAGTATAAAATCTTAGCCGCAGTCATGTTGACTGATGCCGGTCTAGAACCCGCCGACCATGTATAGGTTGTAATCCGGATGATTGACGTACGGGTCCTCGCGGTGGTTCCCGCTACGTCCCTCAGTTGAAGACGGGGTCCCAAACAACCCTGGGGTGCCCGTCTGAGAGGAATGCGGTGGAACTTGCGGAGTGGGCGATGTCGTGTTTGAGTGGTGGGGCATCTTTGCATCGCTTATTTTACTGCTCCTGCGTCGCTTCCCCCCCGACTGGCACACGATTGTTCAAGCCCCGGTAATAACTCCATTTCTTTTTAGCCATTCGCGCTCAAGCACGTTAAGCTTCTAGGTTGTAATTGTATTGCGAACTTGTAGTCGGGTTCCTGGCAACCTGATGCTCATGCCGTACACAATAATTAGATACAGATCCTGAGGCCAATGTACGGACTTCGTCTGTAAAGAAGCCTCCGTCATACAAGTAAATAATGTGGACCTAAGTAGATGTATTGCGTACAGCCTCGTCACTTAGAAAACCAAACACGCTCTTTCCTTCGTTCTCCAGCAACCACCGGGCCTTGGTAATTGCCCTGTCCTTCTAAATCCTTCGTAATATGCTCGATGAGATCATTGTATGTCAATTCATTCGTCCAGTTGGATATGAGAGTACGAATGAGTGCTCGTGTAAAGCACCCATTGTAGCCTTCTCCATCGGGCCCGGAAGTCTCCTTCGCCTTCTCATACTCGGCACAGGCAGCAACGACGACATGAGATTTCATGTCAAAGAACCAGTTGCCATCCGAAACCGATACATAGCTAGGAAAACGTCTCATGCTCTCATCCGCGGCCTTCAGTGCTTTCTCAAGTAAACTGCGTTTTAATTCAGGGGCCGCGCGCACTCCTTCCTCCGCATCCCTTGTTGCGCGCCAGCCGAGTAGCAGCAATCAAGAATGACGGTAATGTTAGGACCCTTCGCCTGGGATATCTGAGTGAGGATGCTGTTGAACTCTCGGTCGCTGATGTCGGGAATCGTAGGGCCACTGTCGGCGGCGTCGTTGCGGTCAACAGGGCAAATAGCTTCAATGCCACAGAGTTCGCCCTTGCAAGAGGGCGAATCACGACGATGTGCGCATTGGTAGCTCGCGCCATGTCCGGCGAAGTAGATGATGATGTTTTCACCTTCGTTTATATTGGCGTTGTCGATGAGGCTGTGGAGCTTTCGAATAATGTTGTCGCGGGAAGGGGGAAGGGTTTTGCCTGTTAAATTGGGGTCATCCGAACTAAGCAGGCTCTCTATACGACCCTTCGGTACACCCAGATGTTCGTGCAGGAACATTTCCATTAAAATGGCATCCGATACGCAGCCTTTTAATGAAGAATTTGGATACGCGTCGATGCCAATGAGAACAGCCCAGAATCGCGAGGCATCAACGAGGTGACGCTGGCTCTGACATGCTTCAGATTAGTATCAAGGCTCTGTATTATAATAAATTTAGACAATTACAGGCTTCTGGGTTTGGAGGAGGGAGTAGATATCCTCAGGCCTGTTCAAGGTAGAGGTCACAGTGAAGGGACGTGCTGTATGGGACGAATGGCCGGAAGCATCGACCTTGTCGAGAATGAAGATGAGAATCCAACATCATCCAGACAAGCGGGAAACATACAGAAGTTGAACTAACGTCAGTTGAAGGAGCAGATGCCATGAATCGCGGTGGGAAAGCAGCTCGGGGCATGTCCGGATGAATCACGGCTGATCCTTCTGAAGCGGGTGCACAACAGTGTGAGTGAAGCAGCCTGAATACCCACCATAGACCACGCCCACCTTCATCCTCGAGGTTTTGGGGAGGTCCCGTGTTCCGATATCCGCTTCCGAACATGTGGCGGTAGCAAGACGTCAAGGAGTGAACAAGTCGGCCTCCAGTCCTGCCCAGCACCGTCTCCCTTGCCTTCATCTCTCTGGGCTGGTCGAATGTTTCAGGCGTATCTTGTTTCATGTCTCCATTGTGAACCTAAAATATCGACATCAGAACGGTATTTCCACAATATTTCCATGGTCAGGAAATTTACAACGAGAGGAGCAAAGACAGGCAATAATACTAACCGAGGTGGACGCGGCCCTCAGGGAAGATGGGGGGTTTGACAAATGTGTAGCGTTAAAACCCATATTTTCAGGGCTTGTTCCCCAACACCGAGCTTATAAGTTATCCGTGGAAATGTGCAGCTCTAACGTGAGTATTAACTTGATTTTGGTTCGTGAAAGAGGGAGATCAGGTCGAAAGTGAGAGGCGCCGTAAAACGTTACCATTTCTCATGTTATATAGTTTTGAAACACCAGTCAATTGCCGCATGGAAGGCCAAAACGTGTCCTTCGCAGTGATGCTTGATCCGATGCGATACACTTGAAACTAGAGCGAATTGCCGATCATCGTGGTCTAGGTTGCATTCATATGGGCGTATGTATGGGTGTAATAGTATGGGCATAATGATGTCCGAAAAATGCAAGGTCAGAATTTGTTATTTCGAGTACAACTTTACGGAATGGACTCACGACTTTAAACAAGTTTGACTAGGTTTGAGATGTGGAGTAATATATGAGCAACAAGTGTTTATGATTACTGATCATTACACAAGTAAAGAGTAACTGTTCAGGGGATGCACGAGTTAAGTAGAATAAAAGTAGTGATGTTTGAGTGATCTCGCCCAGCTTCGCGCCAGTTAGGCGTGCTCCCAGGCGATTTTCGGCATTACCCTACACCTGCCACCATATCGGGTATGCCGTCTTTCAGCAATTCATCACCTACATGTAAGTAATTGAGAAATTTTTTCATGTCACGTTCCTGGCCTTTTTTTTTTTAGGGGGGAGTTCAAGTTGATGAGCATTTTATTAACCGCCACAAGTAAACTAAGTATCTACTAGGACACGGTGGAGGTACAGGACATCAGGCTTCCTCCACTCTTGCTCCGGTCCCACCGGTCCTTCTTCTGATGTTCCGTGGTGATTTAGTGTGTGATGTGGAGTAGAGTAACGGATATGTTTTTGCGTTCCGTGACGGGCTAATTCAATTGTCTGCGGTTGACCAAGGCCGTCGGGTGTTTTGCGAGCGTGTCTTGTGTATGAGTCGTGCTGGTTGTCACTTGTGCTCCTGTGGTGTGGTGGGTATGCAGCACCTATCCATGCTCGTCTTCTGTGTCGTCTTCTTATTCTTCCCATCGCTCTTCTTCCTTCGGTTCTGGGGCACGCCTCTCGCCTCGAGATTCTCCTGACAGGGTGAATGCTCCCGTGTTCTCTATGAATTCGATCAGAGCTTGATCAGAGCTGTTATCCCTTCCTTGGTGCCAAGGATGTCTGGTAGATATGAATCTTTACACCTCTCGGAGTATCCCCCGTTGCTTCATAAGGAGGGTATTCGCGTATAATGTGTTCCCGTGTCTGGAATGGCTCACACAGGACAGTCAACATCCTTGCTTGGTATAAATTGTACATAGTACTCGCCGATGTATCCATGACCGACCGGTTCTGTATTGGAGAACTCGACGTTCCTGGCCCTTTCCGGCTGATATTCTTGTCCCTCTCTGCCAGTCCCTGCAGCGTGTATTGACATGAAAATAGTCACAGTGACAGCCGAAATGATTCGACTGTAGGAAACGGCACCCTTCGGTTGTGTCCTAATTTTGGACTCTCTCACATGTTCTTTGCGAAACGTCAAGCTCGTTGTTGGGTCATGTCACACGGTGTTGAGGTGTACTACTAGTACGTAGGTATACTAGCCACATGTCTGTAGGTACGGCACGATGCGTCACTACAGTTGACATCTTTGTATCTAAATAAATGATGATGATGAGGCCCCAGGCTAACTATTCTGCCTGCAGTCCGGAATATGTTACTTGAGCAATAAGGAAGTAATCTGTTCTGTGTTTAAGGTTCCCCAATCTATATTCCAGATTTAGCCGCGCCTCCTGCTTGAACCAAAGTGCTCTGTTACCCGATTTCGCTGAATTCCTACAGCCCACTTCTCGCTTGAAGGGCTCTCAAATCAGACTTAAAAAGGAAGAACCAATGAAAAGCGCGAAGTAGTAGCCAATGAGAATGGGTACGGAAGCATGTTCCGACTTCCGCATGTTAGATGAATGGGTTACAAAACGGAGCATTGCCCCTAAAAAGCACCGCACATCTACCGACATTCCCGTCAACCTGACCGTATTTTTTTCAGAGTATCCGAATGCCCACTATGACAAACCTTCTCCGGCTATTTCGTGACATACTTTCTAAACCTCGCGATAATAATGACAGGGACACAGCTCTCCATGATAACCTCTCAAAGGTAGAGAATTCTAGTCAGGATCGGACGTTCACACATGGCTATGCTCGCGCCTCGGTAAGCATCGATTTGTGGATACTCCAGCATCGACTCTACAATTTGTGTTAGTATTTTGACAAAGACTCGAAGAATTGCGGGAAGAGATCAATCGTTTGAAAAAAATTGAAAAGAAGCTGGCAAGCGAATATGGGATGAGTAGCGACCCCATCGATCTGTGGAGGTTAGAGAACGGGCAAGAGAGAAGGCGAAAGGCGGTGACACCAACTCATGTTCGGATTTCGACGCGCTCCACAACCTCTATCATTCTCGTAAAGAATACGCTGAGAGATGCCGAGGCCTCCTAAATTGCATGCTCCTTTGCTCCCAATTGTGAGCGTGTACCTCTAGAAAAATACTCTAAAAATTTGACGAGAAGCCCTTTAGCAAAGTCTTCACGTTGATGCCTCCCGATTCTGGGCTGTTATAATTGGCATCGACGGGTATCCATCTCATAATAAATTACTAGGCTGCGTGTCAGACGCTATCAAAATGGGGACGTTCTTGTATGAAGATTTGGGGTGTCCCAAAAGACCGAATCGAGTGCCTTATCGATGGCACGCACACACTAGAATTCTGTAGCAAAAACCTACCATCCATCTCGTGCCAACATTCTCATGACACTGTTTGGTCTCATCGACAACCCCGAGATACAGAAAGATGAAAATATAATCATCTACTTCGCTGGCCACGGCGCAGCTTATCGTGCTGAAGGGATCGATGTGTGTAGAGGCTATCGAGGCCCTCTGCCCTATTGACCGTGGTTCCCGTGACGCAGACGGTATGCTATCGCCGACATCAGCGATCGCCAGATCAACACCATCCTCACCCAGATATCCCGTGCCAAAGGACGTAGAATTACCCTCATCCTGGATTGTTGCCATGCAGGCAGCATCACCAGAGCTCCCCCAGGTGGAAGAGTACGCGCTTCCAGGCTCTTCAGGACAGTGACGTGTCGCTGCAGACATGCTTGTTGCTGCAGATGCGGAATTGATGTCGAAACACTTCCCTGGTTACCGATCTATCTTGTCGAAGAATGGTTCCCAGATATGGATTCCCATGTAGCTCTGGCTGCCTGTGAGGCATTCCAGATAGCAATAGAGGTAAAGGGGCAGGGGAAGGAAACTGGTGGCTATTTCACGACGCATCTTCTCGCTGCTTTGAGATCCGGCTGTTTGACAAGGGAGACGACCTATCGCGGCCTACTCGAATTCATTCCCGTCTCTGACAGGCAGACACCGGTTGTTGCTGGGACACAAATGGATGCACTTCTCGTTTCAGTAGTGATGGAGACGTTGTTTTGCTAAGTGCTATGTAATACCCAACTGTACTTTCACTTTGAATTTTCGAATAGGACCGAATGGTGTGGTGGCATTACCGGCGCCAGGTCCCAATAAGGAACGGCCGGGTCCACAGCCCTGAACATGGCGAACCTGCGCTGTGGCTGCGAAGGCTCATACCGTTTGTAATCACACTGTTGAGTGCGTCTCGTGGAGTAGAGACTCTTCGCGCAGGGTACACAATTGAATGAAAAGTGATGAAAGATAGAAAGAACATAGATAACAAAGCACGATCGAGCACGGAGAACCAGTTAGCATGGGCGTATACGTCGAAA